CTACGGGTATGGAATCGCCCTGAAAGAAAGGTCAAAGCCATAGGGATATGGAGGACAGGGTAATCAAGAGCGAATACAACTTCTTCTTTTTTCACAGGATACTAATATGGAGGACAGGGTAATCAAGAGCGAATACAACTTCTTCTTTCAAAATAGGATACTACCCTTGCGAGTAGAGCAATTTCAGAGAACAGACCAACAATAGATTAGATACAATTGCATCGGGGACTTACACTTATGTCATACTTACACTTACTAATACTAGGCTCAGAAACACCCACCTATCAAATGCGGCGATTGCTATCCACCTTTCAGAATTTGTTGCATAAAGCGCTACGTTTGGATAGTCCCATGCTCGGCTAAGCCATTGAGATTCATTACTTTCGAGTCTAAACCCGGCTTCAGGGGGACCTACTTTGCTTCTAAACTGGACCTATACCTGGCATGACTTAACGCGGAAGTTGCCCCCCGCCTGAGCACAATAAGCATTAGCGTGTTGAATGATGGTGCACTCATTATTTGTATCATTCTTGTAATCTTACATTACCCCTCGTATATACAATACTAAACTAAACAAGTAACAGAAGAAGAAAGGGAACCTCCACTAAACAAGTAACAGAAGAAGAAAGGGAACAAGCAAGTGAAGTCACGTTTGAGCAAGGGTAGCAAGTAGTCTATAGGGATAGGGAGCTAAGCAAAGTCCCTGATTCTCTATCTCTATTTCGAATTACTAATTCTATAATAGACTCTATTCATACTTGACTAACGCGCAACCGAACTCTACCTTTTACTACTTGCTTCATTTTCTCATTGCTGAACTCCTCATTTGTTTTTCTCGAGAAATCAGCTCAATCAATCATTGATGAAAGTCAGAATTGCCAACTTCCCCACTTGTTTAGGAAAAGAAAAAGGTATAAAAAGACTCCTTCTTGACTTCTTATACAACTCATAGTAAAGCCAACCTCTAGTAACTTGTCTAATGAGCCAACCCATAACTCATCTAATAAGCTTAGCTTCATTACATCTACCCAGCTTCTCTTCTCTCTTTGCATCTCATTCTTAAGCTTATATCCGGCCTGGTATTCTACTTGCTTTCCGCCGTGATGGGACTAGGCTTCAATTATCCCCTTTACTTGGACAAAGAACTAGAAGGTCAAGAAAGAATCCAACTCCAGAAATATATATCCATCAGCAGCATTTTCCCTTTATTAATGGCTTTTCTTTCTCATAAGGTTTTTCTGTATGAATGGAATCTGAAAGGAATGGTTACGTAGGCTTTACTGTAGAAAGGAATGTTACGTAGGCTTTACTGTAGAAAGGAATGTTACGTAGGCTTCCAAGGTTCCTATGAATAGAATCTTGCTGACTTTGGAGATCTTTATTCTAGAGTGGGTCTTCCAATCTTACTTTTCTTATTTCGATGGACAAAACAAGGTAAGAATGCGAAAAAGCTATTGACTAAAGAGAATAGGTAATGTCATTGTAATTGAAATAGGGTAATTGAATAGTCATTTCATTCTGAAAAGGGTCTTTCTTTATCTCTGTAGTCCTTGACTCACTCGCTTTCTAACCAACCCGACGAGTTGAGTTACTTATCCTTACCTGGCTAGCTAGTCTAAAGAAGTATGACATATCACTGATTTACCTTGCAGGCTCTCTTCCTCTTCCACTGTTACATGAGTGCGAACCCTCCTTTTCCGATTCTGCATCAATATAATGGAGTGGAGTAGATCCTCATTATTCCACAGCAATTCCATTCGAGTTTGAACCCTCGAGTCAGTAGATACTGGTTTCTAATAAGGAGTGAAAGCGTCATCTTCAAAAGTAGGAATAAGGCTTGATCTCGTCCCTTCAATGTCCCCTGGTAGGCTAAACCGGCAAGAGATAGCAGTCTATACCTTAAAGCTCTAAGTCAATAAGTCGGAAGGCTACTAATAGAAAGAACAGAGCTCATTTTCTCTCACCTCGGGAAAGGCCTGCCTATTAAAGACATAAGTGCATCAAAGCCCCTTCCTGCTTTTGGGGAGCAAGTCATATTCTTTTTTCTACAAGATATCCTAGAACGTGCTACTGACAACAAGGAAGTCGGTATTGTTTGCTTACATGGTAAATAACTCCAAATCTATGATTGGGGCTACTAAATTCAGAGTGATCTGTCTATTCAAGAAAATAGCTTTTTGATTAGTTTCAAAAACCCCAAACCTTGATTTCTTGTTTCTTGGATCAAGGGGGCTCCGTAGAGCTTCACTATGCCCACCCGCTCCTTGAAGTAGAGCCTCCATCAAAGCACCTGTACCCTATCGGGGTAGCATCTTTTCCTACCGGCCACAAGCTTGAATCTTGACCCGCTTCTGAATCTGAAACCCAGACTGACTGCTTCTTAACTTGCTTGCGTGAAGTGGTATCCATTGCGGCTTCTACCAAAGGGGCTTTCAATGCTTTCAAAGAATTCCATGATGAATCGGGTTGCTGAAAACAAACCCCTTTTCTAAAGCTTTCCTATCTATTAAGTAAGAAAACTTATGAAGTAACGCTTCTTTGATTCAAGAGCACATTCTCCTTCGGCAATTTGAAAGCACTAGCGATCCTATCCTATACCAGTCACTTATGATCGCTTCTATCTCGGCTTTCTTTCTGTTGACTTTGGACTCAATCTTTCAAAGGTGGAAGCGCTAACTAGTCTGTCTCACCTGGTCTCAATGGAGATGTGTAGGGTTCAGGACATAACCCTCGTCCGTCTGCTACCAAGCCATAATCAAGTTCCAAAAAGGACTGATGGCGATCGACGAATGCGTGCTCCGTAGCTGTTTTGAATGAACGTCGTCTTTCTCAGACCGTGTAAGCTTATAACCACTTTATGGCTGTATTGCAGTTGTGGATTCAGAACAAACTTAGGAGAGAGAAAGTTCTTAGGACCTCCTTTTCTGATATCACGATATCTAAGAGTTTAATGGACTGTGAAAAGGAAGTGAAGACAAGAATAGAGGAAGAATTCAGAAGGCAAGAAGAAACTACACTCGACCCAGAAATAAGACTATTGCCTATATAATATAGATCAAAGAATCAAGAAATCAATTTCGAAAGAAAATAAGATAAGATCATGTATATAATTGTTATTCATATATTCTTATTCATTTGTGTGCTTATTATTATGAGATTTGGTTGGATTATTCCTTCTATATTAATATCCATTCTTATGAAAACTCTTTCTGCCCTAACTGCCTCGCTCTGTAACCCGGCGTTATTTCCCTGATAGTTCTTCTTCCTTCAATCGAGTTGGAGTTATTATTCTCTCAATAGAAATATCAGAATGATAGCAGCTAGTTTGATTCGAGTGATAAGGCCCCGGCCCTCAAAAGAGTCTGACTTCTTAATCCCATCCCCAACATTCTAGCCATATAGTAGCTGTGAGAATTGCCAGCCCTATACTATAGTGCCAAAAGGGAATCTCCTATTGATTGTATAAGTTAGAGTTTCCAGCCCTCCGATAGGCTGCTTTCTTACCTGTTATGAAGAAGACTCATACTATAGATAGATATGCTTGACCTAATATGATAGATATGCTTGACTCTCTCTTTCTGGGCAATTCATCGATCAGTTAATACAGCTGGTTTGTTGGAGATAGCAGGTTATCGAGCAATAAAGCTTACTTAGGAAAGCTCGAGTTATAGGCGAGTTATAAGTCCGTCCTTCCAATTTCACAGTTGCTATATGATAGTCGCACTTATAGGTATTTTAGGCACGAAAGCAGGATAGGAAAGATGCTTCCTACGCGAGCTCAAATCCATTGCAGCAAGAAAGATCAAGAAAAGAAACGGATTCGCTCGACCGGGACTTGTGAACAGTGAGCATATGGGCATAAAGGCATCAAATAAATAGGAAAAACTCGAGTAGGCGGCTGACCCTCTTGAACCTCCCCTTTCAGAAACTCCTATGGCCGATCTTCCTTCTTAGACTCTATTCCATCCCGCTTATCCTTTTGAATATCATTGATGAATTGATAGTTTTGCTACCGCCACTCCTGAAGAACGCCTGTTACGTTACTCTCTTAATAAGGAGCGAGTCTCTCTTGATTAAACGCTTAACGGACTAACTGGGGGTGATTGGATCGAGGTTCAATAGGTATGATTAAAGAAAGAATAGGTTGGTATAGAATAAGATTGGGTCCTGATGGTCTGCATGATTCACAAGATAGACGGAGAGAGGTTCTGTTAACTGTGTGTTTTCCTTCCTCCCCTTGTCAGTCGAGTGCTTACGAGCATCAATCCTTTTCTATTTCACTAATTCTCACTGTCCCTAGATAGAATAGATGAGATTCCAGAAAGGGTATGTATGTCCCTAGATAGAATAGATGAGATTCCAGAAAGGGTATGTGAGATTCAAGGGTATGTCCCTATAGATAGAATAGATGAGATTCAAGGGTCTGGTCTGTCCCTAGATTCTATTTAAAGGTATGTTCCTAGATATAATGGATTCTATTAAGGGGTCTGTCCCTAGCCTGGATATGATAGAATCTATTTGATGGTGGATTCGCCTAGATATGATAGAATCTATTTTAGGGTGGATTCATGGATGAGGTCGAGTGGTCTCAGTTGGAGATGGTATATTGCACTAGTTTATGGATTGAACGAGATTAACACTTGGAACATAGGACAGGAAAAACAAGGGTCGAGACTGATAGGCTGGCTTGGGGGAATAATAATACTGTGGCCTCCGCAGAACGGATTGGATGCTCCCCTATTAATTAGAATATGCAAAGCCAATGGAATCGAGCTGACTAAGATGGATGTAAAGTACTTGTTTAAGTCCTAGCAACAAATCTTCTGTTCTTTTCTTTCTTTGCGGGATCGGTTTCATTCCTATCACTTTGCTTTGTTATCAGCCCGGTAGAAGTCAGAGGGTTCCCTTGATTGTTATCGCTACCGGTGGAAGGAAGAGGGCAGTTCAAATACCTTGATTGAGACGAGACGGTATAAGAGGGCAGCGTCAGCTGCTACCTTGATTGATAGCTATTATGATCAGATTCCATGTATCTGGATGGAGTCTTCTATCATTTATGAAAAACACTCCTGTCCTTACTGCCAAACTGTAGTAAGCTATAGTATTTTGCTTGTTTGCTTGTGTTGCTTCTTCACAGCATAGCTTCAACACTCTCAACTCTACTTAAGAAAATAATACATATAAGTAACAAACGGTGAACGAAACTCTACCCTTGGCGCGCCCTAAAAGAGAAGTCCGTTAATGTACCCCGGAAAGTAACCTAACGCTTGCACATTCTATACAAGAATAAAGGTCAACAACTAGCGCTTAAGTATCACATTCTAGAAGAAAGGTCAACAACTAGGTAAACAAACGGAATCAGAATAATATCATTGAGTGCCGGAGTAACAAAGCACTAGTGTGCGCTACTAATGCACAACTCGCTAACGCAGGAGCTCAACTCAAGCTTCTAACTCAACGACTAACGCAATTGAATATCACGTGTAACATAGTTTCTAGTTGATTAAACAAACAAGCATTCTTATTAACTGGGTAGCAAAGTCGACTCAACGGGCTGAGGTAAATAAATCCGAATGGAAGAGAGCTCTTAATACGCCAAGCCAAGATAACCATCACAACTTCTCAAGCCAAGATAACCAGAACACAACGCTTCTAAATTGATTCTCTAATAACTCGCCCGCCTATAATGATAAGATAATATAAGAAAGCCTTCACTGAACTTATAAGTATAGGCCGGTCTGCAACTATCAAGGTTTTTTCCACTTTACGAGATACAGCTATCGCAGCTACAGTTTGGCCTTTCAGTCACGCGTACCCTAAACTCCAAAACCAACTTCAGGCTAATGCACAACTCAAAGAACTCTGTTAGCCCATACGATCAAATGGTTATTCACATAACTCAACAAACAACGGAACAAGCAAACTAACCGCATTGCTTCTATTGCTTGCTTCTTTTCTGAACCCTAGATTTCAGTACTCATTTATTCTCTCAGCAGCCAGCAGCTGACGCTGACCTTGCTTTTTGACCTTGCTTGTTTTGTTCGATAACTCACTGACGTCTGCTTGTTTACTTACTTATGCCTTTCAGAATGACTATGGGCATCCGAGTCAGCTAAGCTTCTAGGGATGATAAAACAATCGTCTTCTCTCTTCCTACTCGATCTTCTAGGGCGAATTCAGATCTTAGCTTTCCCGGTCGCTGGAGCAGCCGCCACTCTCCCTTCGCTCTGGAACACCAATGATGATGAAGATAATCCTTCTGATTCTGCTCTTAACAACTTCTTCTGGTAGTAAGATACTCTTTCTTTTCTTCTCTTCTTCTGCTCTTAACTACACCTATATTTATTGCGAAAATAGACTCGCCTTTCTACAAGCAAGACAAAGAAGCAAAGCAAGAGCGTGAAGTTCCGCGAAGAGGGAAAGAACGTAGCTAGAGCAGTTCCAGCAGTATTTCCTGATGTGTCTTGCGGATGCTGGTCTTTTTGGAGTTCTCGCAGTATTTCCTGATGTATCTTGCTTGCGGGTGCTGTCACTCATGCAGGAGCCTCTACACCAGGTGTCATGCAATAACTATCAAAGTGGCAAACGCGGTGGCTTCGGGCAACAACGGGCATTTCCCATTCTTCTCTTAGTGGGTGGGACAGCCAGAGATGTAGGGTCTAGTGGTTTTCAGCCTAGATAAGCTACAGCGGCAAATCACTTCTTACGAGTTCCCAACACAACTACGCGTAATACTTTAAACAGGTGTGGCTGGATGCTTCTTCTCAATAGGAATAGTAGTCCAAATCCAAGCAAGCTTATTATGAACATCTATTGGAGTCGATCATTTCCAAGATCCAATTCTAGTTTCTTATTATGTAATGGAATAGCTTTACAATCTTCCGTTTTACGCTGTAGCTTAAAGGAGAAAATGTTCTTGGTGGATGCAGGACCAGGTACCCCACTCAATTGTATGGAAGATGAGCTTACAGGAGTGCCAATAAACCGAGCCACGAGCCACAGGTTTGAGAATAAGGTGGGATCCCAGAATGTAGTGGCAGGTGACTCACAGATTCCAGAGCGGATTAATGATAGATTCTTAATGGATCTAGTGGCCGGTCAATCACAGATCAAAGAGCGAGCTGTCTTAAGGTTTCATGATTTTTGGGGATCCCTGGATGTATTGGCTGGTGAACCGCTTCTTCTTCCACGAAGATTAAGACAAAACCGAGCTTGGATAGAACTGCAGAAGAATTGGCGAACGAATAAGAAGGTCAAAGGCTTCATTATTAACAAAGTCAAAGGTGGTTATTCAGTAGCCATCGCGGGTTTCATTACCTTTCTTCCATTCTTTCCTCTCAACACTCAAAAGATAGCGAATGATAGATTCACCATTGAGAGCATTAATCCCAATAGGAGGAAAATTGTGGTGTTCTAACAGCAGTAGATCCAAGTAAGATCAAAATCCAATCAAAAGGAAAGGCTCTCAGCTCCTTTCTTTTGTTGAGGGAACTTCTTACTGCTTGCTCTTTGATAAGGTAAGCAGAGGAGCATTGTATGCTTTTTTGACCCTTGTCCCATCCATTCTAGAAGTCAACAACAGCTTCATCTCGGCTTAGCTTACGGCTTCATCTTCGTCATAGAACATAAATAGTCCATCCCGTGCTCAAGCTTTCTCTTCTAGGTTTGGTCCTACTTATTATTCTTTACGAAAAACAAACAAACCCCAATTCTCAACCGGCGTGGCACAGCCTTCTTCTCAATAGAACAGGAAGAGGAGCAAATAAGGACCACCAAAAGTAACGACAACCAAGATAGGCATAGTGATTCGATCCTTTGAGAACCCTATTTTGAAGAACCACTATTTGTTGGGGCTTACCCCTAACACACTACAGATTGGATTGCCTGATTCACGAGTCTTATATACATTGTTACGATCACCTTTTATTGATCAAAAGTCCAGAGAACAATTTGAAATGAGAATAAAGAAACAATATCTGGTCATAAAAACAGAAAGGCATGATTCATTGCGCAAGAAGTTCTTTCGGTTAAAACGCCGTGCGACTCGGAGAACATAAGACTCTTTTGTAAGGCTTCTAATCTTGCCTTGCCGACGGAATGCTCCTACCCCACCATGCCTAGCCCTTTCCCTTAATCATAGGAGAGGAGGTATGAAGCGTGGAAAAGAATGCAATCAGTGTATATGACATCATCATGTAACCTTAAGGAGTGGAGGTAGCAAAACTCAACATTGATCAACGCGAGTGAACTGTGCTTAGACGCTTCGTCAAACCGCACCACATCTACAAGAGGAGCAAATTGATGAGTGGGCTTCCCCTTTCGATTCACGGAATGTGATCTGAGACACGATGGGAGTTTGCGTGCCTCGGTAGGCAAGAGATCACCGGAGTATAGCACAAGATCGCCTTTTCTTGCTGCCATGGGGTCAACCTGTTAACAAGGTAAACCCAATGGGATGGGAACCAAAAAACAGTAGGGTACCGCATTGGGCAGAAGACGATTCAAAAAGCGAAGGCTCACCCTTGGAAGTGCCGGGTGAGATAGGCAACAGGTAGCTTGCTTCCATGCCGTCTACGAGGAATCAATATCTCTTTGCCGGTGCTGACTTGGATCTCGGGTGACGGAATAAGGCGGCCAGAAGCCACTTTTCGTTTACAGCTTACTTAGCGGGCGAAGCTTTACCGATATAGGCAGTAAGCTTGGCCACAGCGAAGCGCTTACCAAACGCTAAATCAAGAGGGCCTTCGACACTTGAGCCGTATGCGGGGGAACTCGCACGTTCGGTTCTTTGGGGGGGAGACCGTCGGTTGAGCCATTCCATCCCAATAGCGTATATTTGGAGCTCAATATTCAATCCGTCTTTCTTGCAAGACCCGTTTAGATAAGGGAAAACTCAAGAGATTGCTTCGAAAGCTATCGAAAATACCTTGAATACACTAACCGAATCATATCATAAACCAGAACCACATTGGATATTGTGTCTTGGGTTCTTTTGGGATAATGGATAACAAATGTATTTTCTTACGCGCTATATCCCCTGCTGTTTGTTGTGGCTTTCTCATTCTTGTACAACACCCAACCTCTGGAGTTGATTCATTCTGTCATCATTGTACCACTAAATGTTCAGGACGAGGGCAAGTCCCCATTTGGAAGATGCTACTCCGGTGACTTTGGTCCGCAACCGACATCAACTATTTCGTTTCGTTCGTATAGAAGTCTGAGTGGATCAGTAGCTTCTGCATAAGCAGTGAATTATAAGACTGCGTGGAAGCTGGTCCGGGTTTCTGCAATAGGGAGCAGAGCAAGTAGGTCTTCGGCACGCCACACTTGAAGAGCTTTCCCGCTCGCTTTCTGACGACACTGTCCTTTACCTGAGCACTGTTACACTGTAGTGAATGTACAGGCATTCAAATAGTTTCTACGAAGTCGTATATTTAGGTAGGACTTATGAGATGAGAACTTACAACCACTAGGCAACCAAAGTCATTATCTCAAATCTCTAAAGTGAATTGAGTTAAGGGAGGACCTTGGGGTGTCGTGGAATAATTTGGTTCGATTCCCGTTATACGTGATGTGGCAAAAAACACTTATGGAAGGGGAAATTTCATGCCTGCATTAAGATTTCAAGCGTGTCGTCTACTTCTAGGAAATGTTCGGAACAGAGAACTTTCTCTAATACAACGCAGCATTCTCCGAAGATTGAGGAACAAGAGGAGATCAATCCAAATCAATCTTTCTAGGAGAGAAAATCGAAACTGTTACATTAAATCACAAACAACACGAAAGTTGTCCCTTTATTATGGAGATTTACCTACAAGGGGGCTTCTTCGGAGAGGAAGAGAACGAACTTCATATATCCCTTTTCTACTCAATCAAGAAACAAGATCGGACGTGATTCTGGTTCGTCTCCATTTTAGTAAAACCATTCCTCAAGCAAGGCAGCCGATAAGTCATCGAAAGGTTAGTTTGAATAATGGACAGGTCAGCATAACAAGTTCTCAAGTTTCCCACGGTGATCTAATATCTTTTCCAGAAACTATAGCCGAAATACAAATAAGGAGATCTTTCTATATCGACATATCAGTTGGCAAAATAATAGGGAAATTCCTGCCGGTCAGAATGTGGAGAAGAACCAAAACAGAATGGTTCCGCTTACTCAAAACAAAGAGGGGGTGCCGTCTACTACTCCAATCCGGGTTTTTGCAAGAGTTGCGTGATTCTATGCAAGAAGAAGACTTAGAAAGAACAAAGAAGTTTGGATCCGCTAAAGTATGCTTAGGCAGTTCCTTCGCTGAGCACAACAGAATGAAGAAGAATTTGTTTCATTTCAAATACTTTTTCTTATTGAAGAGAAGGAAGGAGAAAAACCGAAATCCTCCAACTCTTTCCATATGCGCTTTTGTTGACAAGTATAAAGTATATTGTAATTCGACCTATTGCTCTGGATCCCCTTTTACTAGGAAGATAAGAATCAAAAGGATCGAACTACCTACTCATTATTCGGAGGTAAATCATAGAACACCAAAAGCTGTGGTATCTTATGGACCTAACTTAGGGAACATCCCTCACGACATAAGATTGAAAGATCCAAACCTTCCTCTTTAGAGCTGATAAGTAAGAAAACGTGGCCAAAGCATATAAGCCCTCATAGGGAAATATCCATCCTGGGAGTATATCTCTCCTTATAGAGAGGGTCTCCCTTTGGATAGAAATCAATATGTAAGACCGTCGCAGTCGACTATAAGTATCAGATTGCTGGCCTGAGAGAAGGCAGTCTCTCTCGGGAAAACATTGCCCAATTTCTCTTCTTTCTTTTCACACAGGCGAATAAAAGACACTATGAACGAACATGAGTTTCAAATGCTCAAAGGGGAACACACTTTAGACAAAGGGATTTGTTGTCAGGAGGAGTTTGGACTTTTCTTAGAAAGTCAAGCTCTTGACAAGTCCCAAGTGGATTCATAGGTCATTAATTCATGAATTCTTGTAAAGCTCTTGACAAGTCCCAAGTGGATTCATAGGTCATTAATGAATGAATTCATTCCTCATTTGTTGACTACAGAGAGGCGGAACAAGACTCATTTTGTTGCTGTAGATCCTGATTAATAGCGGCAGTGAGCTTTCTAGAAAACCACTTCTCTTTCCCGTCTACCAACTCTGTAGACTTTCTGTATAAGAAAAGAAAAGCCTATCAAATTATATCTGATATTTATAAAGAATAAGAGTGGTCTGGTCCACAGATATAGGATTCTGTTTAGAAGTTTGAGAGCAGTAGAGCCAGTAAACCTATACTGAGGGGAATTGACTTACTTACTTAAATGTGGAAGATTGCTCATATCTAATCCCTTATACTTGGCCTATTAATTAACTTGTTGTTACTATATCCGTTCTTTAATTAACTTGTTGTTACTATATCCGTTCTTCTGCTCCCGTTAGCTTAGTGTTTCAAGCAGACAAAAGTAGTGAGTGACTTAGAAGCGGTTTCTCTAGGGTGTAGTGGTCCGGTCCTGTTTCATCTGTCTTTGTTTTATTAGTTGACACGCGTAGTATTAGTTTACACTGGTCCAGACTTATTAATGGTTGCGATAGCAGTAGCAAGTCAAGCAGAAGGTATCTCAACTATGAATCAGCAGGATCAGAGGAAGAATTCTAAGAAAGATCCTTATTGAGAGTCGAGCGCAGAAGAATCACCTCTCTCGTCCAAAAACGGATTCCACTTTTCTCTAAAGTTGCCAACTAACAAGCAGAGCTACGGCAGGACAATATGGCAATTCCTCATCACCCATAGGAAATGACTGGAAATCTGAGTTGAAGCGTTAACCGACACCACTACCCGGGCCGGGCCCTCAAACGGAAGTATACCACCGCACAGATAGAATATGGTTTTTCGGTAGAACTGCTTATATACGATACTTAATAGAATACGGGTTCGTTTGTTCCACTATCTGCTCTCGAGTCGCCAACACTTATTGTTTGAGTTTGGGAATGTTTTATTACTTAAGTGTATCTTATGTCAGTGATATCTTAAGTCTATCTTATGTCTGTGATATTATATTATTCCATTCTGAAAGCCGTTGCGCAAGTTCTCGAGTTACTAGAATCAGGTGTTACTAGTTTATATGATCAGTGTGCACTCATCAATGATATTTCAACGAGCTCGCTAAGGGAACTACACCTCTGATTCAGCTACACCTCTTCTCTTCTCTTCTCTTCTTTACCGCCTCTAATGTTTGCAGAATGTCTTTCATCTTTCGATTCGGCTTCTATATCGGATTCCAATAATTCTGAACTGATGTGATATACCCGAGGAAAGTCAACAACTCGCATTGCGACATGAAATTGAGACTCAGTTAGCGCACGACCTCTCTTTGAAGAACTGCTTGTGGCAGACTGAACTCTTACTGCGGATTCTTGATACAAAGGCTTTCGCCCCTCATTCTATTCCATATTCTCTTACTGCCCCACAAGTAGGACTTTCCTTCACTCGCTTGACGATGAAACTAGAACAGTCAATTGCGCCTGAAATCCCCTGCCTTAAAAGATGCAAAAGCACTTGCTTGTTCCTAAGCTTGTTTAGTAGTGACTTGGCGGGTTGGTCTTAAAGTCAACAAGAGGCAAAAGGTATGCTGTGTATTTACATACATCTATGCCAGGTGATCCATTTCTAGTTGATAGTTACCCCAGTAGTAGGAAATGTAGTTGCTCGCCTCTAAGCTACCTGCCGCTCTAACACCCCCTTATATACAAGTTCACTGTTGTACTGCCGCTACACATTAGTATACGCTTGTCGGGGCTTACTTTACTATATCTAAGGCTTTTACTGCCGGGGCTTACTTTACTATATCTAAGGCTTTTACTGCCGGGTTTAGCTCTTCTACTAATGAGTCAAACTCTGTCCCCTCGCCCTCTGCCTGGCCTGGTTCACTCTAATACCGATGAGCTAAATCATATCCCCGGCACGCCGACTACTATGTTGATTTACTTATATTTCTCATATGTTTTATCGTATTCTATTTGATATTAGTTTCTTAGGCTCCACTAGGTTCTTTTTCGAGTAGTTTCTTCTAGTTTATTGGTTCCAAAACTATATGACTTTTGATCTTTTCTATTTCTATGTTAGTTCCGGTGTGAAGTCAATGCTTTCCCCGAGCAAAGAGATAGGTTTGGTCAAGTGGCTAGTAAGCTAAAGAATGAGAAGGCATAGCTAAAGACTTTATGCTGGGGCACTCTTATTGTAATCCAGGATGAGCTAGTGAGGGAACCCGGTGGAGTTTCACTCGTTGGCGTAGGAATGACCTTGGAAGTTGGAATGAAAGGACCGAGTCACAGAATTGACACTATGTTTCAAAGGGCAGGTGCGTAGATCAGCTCTAAGGGCCAAGCAACGACTTATAAATGTTCTCCTAATGGGCCAAGCTACTACGAACAAGTACTACCGGTCTGACTTGCTAGCGCATATAGTATAGGAGTCAAGAGTTAAGGAAAGCTCTGCTCGAAAGTAAGCAGCAAGATGTTTTTCCAGAAATATGACAAGTGGGAGTTTGACTCGGTGCAAGCAAGTTCCATCCTTGGCTTTACTGGTTAACTCTCCAAATCTTAGTTAACAGTCTTGTCTTAACCGAACAGCCAACACCGATAAGTACTCTCCGGCGTGAAAGCGGAATCCGGAGAAGATCTGGATCAGATGAATCCGCAAGTCCTGTCGTCATTGAACTTAATAAGTGAGTTGGTAACCACAGAGCAGGGTAGCTTGTTTCCCGACGCCCCAGTTCCGTTGTCAACGAGAGAAGAATGCCGAGATGCGAGAGAATATACAGTGCTTGTCAAGTCTAAGTTCGGTGCTTGGCTTGCTTTATGTTAAGGGTAGAAAAGAGAGTTGGGACTCGACTGAAGAATGAATGAAATCGTAGTCCTATTTCTGCTGCGCTAAGTCCTGATTGTCCTGCTTGCTGTAGCTCCTCTTTAGTCGGATAGTCCCACTGTAGCTCCTTCCCTTGTTGTAGAGAGAGAGGTTTTTGTCCTTCCCGAGCCAAGTAGTGAGTCGGCCTATTCTTCTTGTCCTGCTGGAGCTCAAGCAAAGTACTCTCGTGAAATACCTGTTCCAATTCTAGGATCTGGTAAGGAAGCAGAATCAAGAAAGTAGACATCAACGAGATCATATCATAATATAGACTATTGGCACCACTATCCCAAACGATCTATCTAATCTTAACTGCTTACAGAAACTAGAAACTTGAAGAAGAAGATAATATCACGTTCCACATACATATGGAATGAAGTAAAAACACCTCAATGCTATCCTTTTGCTTCCATACTATATTACAAGACTGCTATCCTTTTCTCTTTTTCACTCTATAATGTTCTAATATTTCTCAGATACGGATCCTGTTTCATATAATACTCCTGATTCTTTACCTATTTCTATACTAGACTCCCTTTCCTTTCCCTTTGATTTTGGCTACTTGACCTCTCCTTGAAGTTCAGAATTCATTGAATCTTTCCGAGTCGTTTAACCTATGCCCATGTTTAAGGACTGGGGGCGTAAGAAGGTCGGGCAATTCTCTAAGTCAGGCAATCGATTTCTTTTCATATGATTAAAGTAGAACAGAAAGCCAATGGAACAGCTCAATCCTCTGTCTAATTACCAAGTTGTTCTATACTTGACTAAACTAGCTTCTTTCGAACAGCTTCTTCAGTAGGGAAAGCTATGACCACCTTGATTACCTGCTGACTTTCGAATGGAATCTTTGACTTGCGCTAACGGAGTGTAGTCGGCCAACACTGATTCATTATCAGGTCGACAAACTGATGAAACTATACCACAAGGAGCAGATCTCGCATCTGATCTTACAACATAAAGAAACTAGTCTACAACACTTGTGGAATGTCATTGCCTCTCAAGAACTGGAATGGTAGCTTCAGATCCTTTACTCTCTTCTGCTAACTCGAAATCAGGTGTTGTAATAAGTTCATCTTATGAATGGAGTGTACCTAGTATAGACCCATGGAGCGGTAACAACACATCTGACTTTAGGGAAAACTTATAGACCTACGGTAGGATACGGAGTTGAGAGAATTCGCTGTAGAAAGTAAGTAAGGCACGGCACTCGAAAGATTCAATCCAATCCTTTGCTCGAACTCAATTTCTCCTCTTAATACAACAGATTCAGTTGTTCCTACTCCTTCTATTGTTCTAGCCTCTGATCAAGTATCTTCTCCATTCTCTTGTTCGCACAGAGAATCTAGTTTATTTACCTACTCCGGGGACAGTCTCTCCATCTTCTCTAAGCCAAGACCGGAACTCATATTTGTGGTTTTCCATTCTTCAATTCCAGGTATCAAACGGAATTCTTAAAGGCAGAAGGAGCACACGGTTGGTTTAGAGCCCAAGAACACACGGTTGGTTAAGAGCCCGTGGTGGATTACCTCATTATATAAAACATGGCTAAGTCCTATCATTCTGAAATTGCGTACTGCGCTAAGTAAACTAGATTCTGCAATTCAAACGGAAAGAACACTTGGTTAGTTACCCGGTTCTATGAGATCCCTCTGGCTAATTATTCCCGGACTGGGTGTTGAGTAAGTACATTCGAAATCGTACCCTAGCGCTTCAAAGCCAGAGTACTATCCTTGCCTTGCACCCTCACTCATTCACTCCCCGCTTCTGACCAATACCCAGCTTAGAATTCTTTACCAACTTAATATCCCGGTCTCGCTCTTGGAACTGTGCATCCTCACCGGATTCTGTTGTCGGTGTACACTTCCCTGCTCCTTTACCTGCCTCCAATCCTTCCTACCCTTACCTTCATTCTGAAACT